CCCCCCCGTCCCCAATCCTTCGTTTTTTTTTTTTTTTTTTTTTGTCCTTTAAAAGTTGATGATACTTGTAAATGTTCGTCATAGTGTAGTGTGGTCTTTTCCTTTTAGGTAGTAGAACACGCCACTTTGCCGTGTACTTGTCCTTACAACAATCACATCGGTTCCATCACTCCGAGCGTTTAGGTGGGGTCACAATGAGCCAAGATGGCTGACGTTGAGGAACCGCTGTCAGACGAGGAGAAGGTTTGATTCTTGTAAACTTCTTTCATTCACGGTTCCAATTGCTCTAGTTTGCTCACAGGTAAAATACACGCACCGCTAGGGGACTCGATGACGCCGTGCAATGAAAAAAAATATTGTATTTCCCAAGATAGCTTTCGCTTACCATTTAGCCAGTGCTGGTAAGGCATCTCCAGCTAGCGGGATTTGTTTCAGCTCGATAATTGTGTGATACACGCTTTAATTGTTGCGTACAGTGCATTGGAATTAAAAGCACAGTTACTACTAAGTTAACGTATCCGTTTCCGTTAGTTCTTGTAATTCACCCAGATGGATGTCAGCCAATGGGAAGATTTGCTTGTGTCAGAGGGGTACAGTTGCAGCTGAAATATTTGGGACCCTCACATGACTTGAAGTGCCCATTTCAGGTCGTTTAGTTTCGATTGAGCCTAGTGGACAACCCCTGGAATCAAAGCTGCAACGATGAAGACACACGCTTATTTGTGATTGTTTTTTGTAATGCCGTCGTCAAAGTAGCAGGTGGTATCTTGAATCCACGAGCAGACACGCGATAATGTGACTGCACACACTAAGTCACATTGGCATTAGCGTGCACTTATGTTTTTTTCTGGATTACAGTTCATTTTAATGTTCATACTGCGCATCTATTTTTGATTTGATTTTAAAGGTTCGCATTGCAGCCAACTTTGTGACCCGTGCCCCACCAGGAGAGTTCAATGAGGTCTTCAATGGTAAGACCTCTCAGCATTAAGGATTTGGAGTACCGGTGTTTGGATACATTTACAACCGAGTATGTTGTATCTGAATAGTCTAATATGATAACTAAGTCAAAAACTTAGACGGGGGTAGAACTAGATTTTTTTTACTTCCCTATTGTTGTTTGAACATGTAAACTGTGTCTCAACTCAACTGTATTTATAGAGCACTTTCAAACAGCCATGCTGCACACAAAGTGCTGTACATGCAGGAACTAACATATACAACAGTAAAGCAACAAATCAGTAACAAAGACAGTAGAGAGCACCAAACAGTATAACTAAGATCATAATTTGGGTCATGCTGAGTCAAATGCCAAAGAATACATATCGAATAATATAATTGTATATTTTTCTTAAATTTTGTGTATATGTTCAAATAAAGCACCAACTCAATCAAGACAGTTATTTTGCACAGAACTTGCAATTAATTTAGTCAAGTTAACAGTTTGGTCAAAAATCTGTGAAGTAAATTGTTCATATTTAATCTGCCATATGAATACATTTTTAGATTTAGTAGTCACATTCACTTAATTCATCAGAATATAGCAGAATTTTTAAAAATTACCTTTAATGAACCATGTTTGGATTGTGCGCTTGGAATAGAGGTGCAGCTAGTCAGAATAAAATAAACCAGTTTGTACTTTTACGACACGTATGTTTAACATAGTTGTATCCAAAGCATTTGGAGGGAGCCACTTTGGATTTGGCCATCTACATTTCCAACTATAAGGGTGAGGTGAAAAGGCCAACGTGTATTTTTGTCTTTACAGATGTGCGCCTTCTTCTTGACAATGATACCCTCCTCAGGGAGGGAGCATCGCAGTAAGTACCATTTATTATGGAACAAGATATTTCTAATAACATGACAACTCAAGTCGAGTAAAGTACAATTTTATTGTCAAATGTGCACAGCACAGATGAAATTTCGTCTACAGATGACATTTCAAATCTTAACTGTATGATTTCATCGATCCCATGTGTCCAGCTCCTTTGCCCAGTACAATATGGATCAGTTCACACCTGCCAGACTTGATGGCTTTGAAGACCCGGTATGCATCTCCATAACCTTTCCTTCATTCCAGAAACACTGTTTTACCATTTTATTTTATTTTTTTGTTACCTTCCTGGGTTTTATTTACAGGTTCTGATTACAGAACATGGTGACCTGGGTCAGGGGCGCTTCCTGGACCCTCGCAACAATTTATCTTTCCGCTTTGACCACCTACGGAAAGAAGTGAGTGACGTGCAACCATATGAAGGAGACACATCTCTGAAATCCTGGAGGGATTCCTGTGACAATGCCCTTAGTGCCTATGTCAAAGAGCACTACCCTACTGGAGTCTGCACAGTGAGTTGCACCTAAATGCTGCAAAATAATACAACGGTACCTTGTCTTACAAGTGACCCAATTTAAAAGTATTAGGAGTCACTTTGGGGTGTGAGAGGGCAGCACAGAACGTAGCACAGTTCACGTCACAAGAACCAGCATTATGTCATATAGTGAACTATTCTTAAAAAAAAAAAAAAAGGCTTTAAGCTGGTTAATGTCACTCCAAATTGACATTTACTGTCAAACTAAACATTAAACAAGGAAACTTGCAGCATTTTATATTCAAAACAAAAACATGAATGCCCTAGGAAGCGCCCATAGCTTCATGCTAGCAAGCAAAGCAAAAGAATAATACACTGGCTATTAGCCTCTGCATTGCGGTGTTATAACCAGTCTTTATCTTACTACCTCCTGGTGGCCAATGCATGCACAACAAATGGGGGGCACAATGTGGCGCAGGATTGGAGTAATGGGTTTTCCACTCATTTCAATGGAGAAAGATGATTTCAAATACAAGTGCTCCGAGTAAGAAGTGTGGTCATGGAACAAATTAAACTTGTAAGTCAAAGCCCACTGTCGTAGTGTGCAAACTACATTTGACCCATTTTCTCGCCTTGTATATTTGTGTGTCACAGGTATATGGGAAAAATGTTGATGGCCAGCAAACGATCATAGCCTGCATTGAGGGACATCAGTTTCAACCCAAAAACTTTTGGTACTGTACCCTCTTAAATTTAAAAACTATCCAATTTAGTTTTTTTTTTTTTATAAATACAATCAGTGAAATAGACTATAAATGATGTTGCCACTAACTAAAGTGATGGATCTGATTGCCAAACAGGAATGGCCGCTGTAGGTCAGAGTGGAAACTTACCATTGGCCAGTCGACTGCACAGGTAGTAGGAGTGCTGAAGATACAGGTCAGTTGACCTCGGGAGTACTTTTTTGTTGGAGTGACAAATTGGGTAAAGGTCAATGGAAAAATCAAGACTAACCCTGTTCCTCCTGTATATAGGTGCACTACTATGAAGATGGTAATGTGCAATTGGTTAGTCATAAAGAGGTAGAACAATCAATATCAGTGACTGTAAGTAAACCATTACTCTTGCTCTTCAGAATGGTGACTCTCTGTTGTGTGCTTCGTTATGTGTTGGTTAAATATTGCATCTGGAATGGCTTCATTGTGTTTCAGAGTGAAACTCAGACAGCTAAGGAATTTGTCGACATTATCGAACATGCTGAAAATGACTACCAGGTAAACTGCTCCTCTTATGATATCTCGAGTAGCAGTTGGTTTAATGTGACTCATGAGGTTAAAATGTAATATGTACACTAGTAATAATGCACTTTGCTCCTCTTTCATCACCAGACTGCAATCAGTGAGAACTACCAGGCCATGTCTGATACAACCTTTAAAGCTCTACGTCGCCAGCTGCCCGTCACACGCACCAAGATCGACTGGAATAAAATTCTGAGTTACAAAATTGGCAAGGAGATGCAGAATGCCTAGTGGGAGGTCAGGGAATGGCCAGGGAGATTCCTAGCTCCACTGGTCCTACCTAGTCATCCCCATGGACTTAAACCAAAGTAAAACCATATCAGTTTGGGGAAAGGAATCAATGGAAACAACTCATCAAAACAGATTGCAGATGAATACAAGCGTGTCTGATTGGAGGATGGGGGGGAACTGTACCTAGGGAGAACGTCATAGTTTAAAGTAAGCTGTTGTGACTGTGTGGTGTATGGTAATTGTTGCGACAGGGTGTAGCGCTACGCTCTTGATATCTGCAAAACATTTATCTAAGAAAGAGTTTGGTCAATTGTGTAAGAATAGCGTATTGATAAAGACTTGCGGTATACACAAAAACAAGATGTGAGAAAAACAGAACATCGTTTTGGAGCAAGAAATTTGGGAATGGGTTGTGAGGTGATTGACATTGTTTTCAGAATTATACATGATGTAGGGACGAAGAAGAGCAAGAAGAAAACTATTGATACCCCAGAGGTGAAAATTTCAATGCTCATTAAATTGATAGTATTGGCAATTGGAAGTAGCTTACGCTACCTTTGCATTTAGCTCTTCTCTTGTAATGTAAACCTCCATGTACTGTATGTCTGTCAAGTCAAGGGAACATTTTAAGTTGTCCTCCATGTTTTGACTGAAATAAGACAAATGTGCCTGCTTCTTGAAGCTGGGATTTGTTCTCGCATTGGAAGCATCATGTCCACTGCTGTCCTTTACATTTACAAAAACAAAACACGAATAACCATTTCGCAAAATCTCTTTCCTATGGTAAAGACCTCCATTCTCCCACCCACAAATGCACATTTCTACTTTAATATGCTGCTTTCTTTTGGAGTCATGAAATGTTCTACTGCAATAAATTATGTGTTGGTCAATGCCAAGGGCGCATAAATCAGTCGCCATGCAAAGCAAGATGTTGACTTCTGTAGGGCCACATCAAACTGTAACTACATACCAATACTTCAAAGTGGAAATTTTTGGATGGATGCTATGTTAAGCCCTCAGACTGTTACCAACTCTGTGTGCTGATCAGTTATGTGTTGCCTGTACTGCCCCATTCTGTTGTCTGAATTAAAGGACAGAATAACAGCTGGATTGCTGTTATTGCACCCATGCAAGAGTCGTATGCTTGTCATGCTTAGTGTGTAAAAACTAAAGAGAACTACATTGTACACAGTGAGCACCAAATTGTAGTTTATTGATATTTTTCAGTATGATTGGTTAAAATCTTCAATTATGTAACCGGAGGAATTGGTCTGATTCCTAATTCATCATTTGTGATCATCTTGAGTTGTGTGAGGGTGATCATGAACCTCTCTCAGCCCACGCAGATCTTGCACACTTCTTGTTTGGAAAGGTAAATCAAGTCAATGTTGCAAATATACATATTAAAAGAGAACAAATCTACAAAATAACAAAACCATAAACTTGACATACAAATGGCTGCAATAGTTGCAGGAATCAACATGACGCATCTGTTTTCTATTTGGTTCGTGTTAGTCTCCCGAACAAACTTTTCCCAGGACTGCACAGTAGTCTCAGTATACTGCACAGTCATTTACTAGACTGCTTTTGATTTACAGTGTATTATTCTTTGAAACAACCTTTAAATAAGTTTTTTTTATGGATTGGTGGCAACAACTTGCATTCTAAGAACCACTTGTTCGATGTTTGTCCCGTCTACAACTAAAACTGTTTTTCTTCAAGCATTTTTCACTCATTGTGTCTTGTTTGCGACAGTGTTGGCTTTTTCAGCATTCGGGGATAGTGCCGTGACAGTTCTTAAGTTAATCAATCTCCAGTTTCTTCAGGTTCAACGCATCCCAAGTGTATATGCACTGCTTTCCGCATGACTCTTGTGCGGTGACGGCAATCAAATACAACACATCAGAGAGGGCGAGCGGTCTACCCGGGTACCTTCTCATCAGTCACAGAGCTTACTTATAGTTTACAGCTGCAGTGAGGTAGTGGACTGCTAATGATGTGAGCAGGGGGTCATTCCAGTAGTGATTATCACTTGTGATAACTTTCGACTCCTCTAGATGGCACTCTTGGTTTAAAGATGCAGTGGAAATATAATATATTTCCTTTGCAATAGCCTTTATCTTTATTGCAATAGCCTTTATCTTTAAACTAAAAGCACCATCTGGAGGAGTAAAAAAAATATCACAGGTGCTTCATGAAGCTTCATTTTCCCATCACTACCCTCCAGGTAGAATGTGTTGCTGGCAGTAGTCATCTATGGTCTTCCTTTATCATCTGTAGAATTTATGCCAATTTATAGCCAGTGCCACTGCCATCCATTCTTGTCTAAACATGCCAATGCTAGCTTGCTTAAATTCTTTTGACTTTATGCATCTGCCTGTCTGTGCAGTCCTCCAAAGAGGCAGCTGTGCAAAATGTTGATGGATTTTACATGACTCAGGTAGTGTGGCAAGTAGAAATTGTGTGTATTTTGTCAGTATGATGCAGGCATTAACTAATAGAAGATAAAACCAGGTCAGGTTCTGTAGCTCCTTCTTGTCCGCTGCTGCAGTTCTCTGTAAATTCAGGGAACAGGCTGGTTCGGGCAGAATGACTTGGGGAGCCAGGAGTCGGACTCATCCCTGGCTTCTTGGGAGGGATTGGGGGAGGGTGAGTCCTCTCTGATCGAGGGGTTAGAGGGGAACGGATACCTGGAGATTGCGGCCCAGAAGGTGACCTCCCCCCGGGAGGCGATGCAGCTACATTCCGGTAGTCTGTACCAAATGGAGAGCTGCTCATTGGTACCATCTTGACACCAGCCTGCTGGCTGGTGAATCGGGACAGCACCTGTGTGACCGTGTTGCGGGCCAGCTGCTTGGCTGCACTGTGCTCTGGTGGGGGAGGGTTGGAGGCGGTGGTGGGTGAGAGGTCCCTGGGGGAAAGAGGGCCACCGTGCTGTTGCTGCTCCAGCTCCGCCTGGGTTTGAAACTTGTGTCTGGCAGCTTGGAACCGTTGATTGACTCCAGCCTGGTAGGAGGACTGATGGAAACCAGGGCTGTTGAAATGTTTGACCAAAACTGGTGAGGAAATGGGAGAAGAGGAGAGGGAAGAGGAGGCGGTACTGGATGGAGAGTAAGGTACAGTCTGAGGATGTAGAGGAGAATGTAAGCTTGCTCCTGCCTCGTTTTCAGGCACCACTGTGTTTTCTGTTCCTCTCACGTCCTGAGTTATCTCTGTCTCTTTGAGATTATGATGGCCGTTGACCTTCAACACAGAGACTGTTTTTCCAGGGACAATTACTTTTCCATCAGGTTCGGTCTGAACGGAGGTGGACATGGCTATTATCTTAGAGGGTGACTCTTTTACCGCTGTCACTACCTCCGTTGTCCCCTGTTTGGACTCAGTGCTTTCAGCCAATCGCTTTTTCAGCTGTTCAAGTTGTCTCCTCAGGTCCTTACTCCTTTCCTCTTCCTGCATAAGCCTGGTTTTCAGTTGCTCATGCTCATTGGTAAAATCAGCAAGTTTCCTCTTAGACTGATCCTCAAGTTCGGCAGCCCTTCTCTTTTCCTCATTGAGCAGCCCCTGTAGCTTTTCCACCACTCTCGTCTCCTCTTGGAGCAAAGTACGGAGCTCTAAGACCTTCTGCGACTCTTCCTCTGCTTGGCTCCTGGCTTTCTGGAGCTCCAGGCTGAGAGTGGATGAGAGCTGCTGCTGCTGGCTCAGCGACTCCTCTGCCTGGCTCATGGCCTGATCCTGTTCTCTCTCCAGTCGCTGCACTGTTGCACGCTCAATTTCAAGCTGGAGAGATCAGAGCATTGGTGAGTAAAACAAGGTAGCATATGGCCACAAGGAGACAGAATAACTCTGCTTTGTTGAATCGTAGCATCAGCTAGTATGACGCAGAAGTCCACACACAATGAGCAGACACAGTCAAAACCCAGACACCCTTCTATACAGAGCCAGACCTGTTATTATATCATTTTAACTAATGCTTGTAGTTTAACCCTTTCATGCCCCCTGAAACCTGATAACATGATAAACTGTCCAGTGTAGTAACCGCTGTCGCTGAAATGGTTAACATGCACAGCTTCTATGGGATTTACATTTTTTAAAGACATGGATTTCTATCAGATTTTGTGGTCATTCGGTTATGCAAATCTATATCTCTTGAATTCGGCTTTGGTAGACTTTCAACAGTGTTTCCTTTTTTCTTTTTTTGCAACAAATTGATTGATTGCAAACATGTTATTTATGTTAGTGCAAACTGAAAAATCAGATTTATGATCAATGACCCAGACCTGTGGGAATATTTTGTCGTAAAGTACTGTACACCATAAAACATACAGATACTGTACTTGGGAAACAAAATTTTTTCGAACAAAGCTAATGGTCTGTAGTACCTCGTTTTTTTTTTTTGTTTTTTTTTTTAAATCACTGTGTTTATGAATAATTAAAGGCTTGTTAGCTTGCTTCAACAGTTTGCTGGGGATATAAAATGGACTATTTCTACTAAAACAGGAAAGGCTGAGGAAAACTGTTGGACGCCGTCTTACGTAAGGCCCTAATGTAGAGTCTGACTGCGCTCAAGCATGTGTGCTCGAGCCGACCAGACATGTAGATCCATTAGCTCCAGTTTCCTGAGGCTTGAAACTCCAGGCAGGACAACTAAACAATGGCCTCTTCCTCATCTGTTTCCTCTCCAACAGCCACGTGCGTGCGCATAATGGTGCCTGTGTATGCTCTTGATCTTTAAAAGCCCTGCTCACCACACGGAGTTAGACAATGGAGCCCCACTGATGCTTTCCTGCGACCTCCCTGCTTTTTACAGTAAATCACAGCTTTCAGTATGAAAGAGAAAAAGACAAGCAAAAAAGGAGTGGGAAAGAAGAAAAAAATAAAAGCAACATGAGCTCTCCTAGGTCAAGTATCAACAAGTTGAATACTTGGGCACCTTTAACACAAGCACATCCATCACTTCAGTATTATGTGGGTCAGCACCTGTTGCAACAGTTCATCTCTTTCTGTTTGCAGTATCAAGGAGAAATTGTCACTCTGTGCAGATTCATGGGCATGCCGCAGTTTTTCTTCCGCTAGATCAGCGATCATCTGTCAAATATAGAAACATGAG